ACAACTCCCCTTAAGTGTTTCGTAATCTCAAATCTGTCTTCCCATTTCATCGAAGAAGCATTCTCGAGCATAAACCATTTTTGTCTCGCCTCATTCATTACTCTTATAAAAAATAGTTTACTTTTCGACCCGTGCAATCTATGTTTTCCCTTTACCGTTCCCCGACGCTCAGGCCTTGCCAAATCCACATGCATCTCCCCCGGGTCCTTTCACCCGACTTTCCTCAGGTCCTGCCAATTTTGCATTCATATCACTCTTTGTCCTTTCTTGTTCCTTTCTTATTTTTAACTTTTTCATGCATGCTGCCCAGTTCATCCCTTGTGCATCTCTCTTTCAGACACCTTGTCAGACCTGTTTCCAAATACTCATCTGTTTCCTGGCCTGCCAGTCTTTCTCTCAGATCCATACATAGTCCATCATACGAGTCTTTTATTTTCCAGACGTCTTAATCGGCCCATTTTCAAGCTCATGCCAAATCAATCACAGAAGTTGCTTGCCAGGCCTTTTCTCAAGCTCATGCAACGTCAATTTCTCACCCGTTTCTCTTCTGGACATCTTGCCAGACTTTTTCTCAAGCCTGCGCAAAGTCAATTACTCATCCATTCTCCTCTTCTGGACATCTTGCCAGACCTTTTTCTCAAGTTCATGCAACGTTAATTATTCATCCTTATGCTCATAGTATTCTCCTCTTTTGCACGCTTTTTCTTAGGTAGATGACACACCTTCCTCCCACTCAAAATGCGATGTCTCCATCGCACGACCAGTTCTCACTCGGAGGTACGCAACCTTTGGCCCACCAACGAGTAGGCGGATGCCGGCCCATCAACCCCAAAATGGAAGGGTGATCAGTCCTCCCCCTGCTGATAACTCACCTCATCCCCTTACTCCGTCCGACCTTTTGCTGCTTACGAGACGGGCGTCATTACTGAGGTACCTCCTCACATCTGGAAGGCAGGTCCAGTCCAAGCCTCCCAGGACCCCGTCTTGCCGTAAGGGCTTTCTCGCGAATCGTTCCTCCCGAGTGGTAATTTTCTGGATCCGGCCTCTTCCTTTCAAGAGAGTTGGGGCTCTAAATTAGTCCACGAGTGCAGTTACGAAGACCTCGCAATTAGTCCCGGAGCGGTTGTAATGCTCCGGTGGGGCGGTGTCAATGCCCCGTGGTGGTTGTGGCTTCCACCCGGTACCACGCCCAACTCTTTCCTCTGGACAGTACTGCTCAACTTAACGCGAGCCGCCGTGGTCCATTCCAAGCGGTCATGCCGCCCCTCAACGACACGGCGTGTGGTTAGGGAGAACAAAAAAGACTTAGAAAAAAAGAATGGCTCTCTCGGCCATTTGGTTTCCTCACCCTTTGACGTTTAGGCGTTCAACATGAGACGCAGTTTGAACTTCCCGACCAGAGCTCGTTGTCGAGGTCAGTTCCGGACGTCCCGCATCGATCCAAGCGGTAGGTGCCTTGGTCCTTTAACCCTCATCCTCTTACAAGAGGAACAAGTCGCGCTGAGACTTTTTCCCTTAGGGATAGAGGTCTTGGGGTCGCGGTGTGAGCACCGGTATCCCCCATCTTGCTGAGGCCAAAGACTAGAAAAAGAGAAAATCATTTCAAGGCTATTTCCAAGTCCATTTCAAGTTGCCTAGGGTCCCCTGCCTATGCAATGCAATATTCAATCCTCAATCATTCAATCCAATTCTATTTCCAAGGTTGATTCTCATGGTTGGTCTGACAGCCTCTTATCAACAAGGCCGCCCCCATGGCCGGTCTGGCGGTCATTCTCTCAATAACCATTCCTTAAGACTGACCCTTCCGCTCACTCAATCCTCAATTTTCTCATTCCTCAACACCCAATCTCTGTGACCGTCCCAACGGTCCTTGCCCCTCTTGGCTTTAAGGTTCCGCCTCTTTTATTCACATATTTCTCCCGCCCCCTTGGCAATTTTCAGTGGCCGACCCACCGACCTTTTCCATTTCCTCCATTCAACTCATTGGCTACTTCAATGACCGACCCACCGACCTTTTCCATTCCTCTCATCCCATTGGCTATTTTCAATGACCGACCCACCGACCTTTTCCATCTCTCTCATTTATCCCATTGGCTATTTCAATGACCGACCCACCGGCCTTTTCCATCTCTCTCATCCCATTGGCTATTTCAATGACCGACCCACCAACCTTTTCTCTCTCTCTCATTCATCTCATTAACTATTTCAATGACCGACCCACCGACCCTTTCCATTTCTCTCATCCCATTGGCTATTTCAATGACCGACCCACCGGTCCTTTCCATCTCTTTCATCCCATTGGCTATTTCAATGATCGATCCACCGACCCTTTCCATCTCTTATTGCTTATTCCGGCCCGTTCTCAATCAACCTTTCTTAATCAAATATGCAGGGAACCCCTGTGCCTATTTCAAAAGGAATGACCTTTGTCAGGGGTCATTCTCGAACAACCTGGTTAGGGTCGTTCTTTTCCATTCTCAAGTCGAACAGCCTGGTTAGGGCCATTCATTTTCATTCTCAAGTCGAACAGTCTGGTTAGGGCCATTCCTTTCCATTCTCAAGTCGAACAACCTAGTTAGGGCCATTCCTTTCCATTCTCAATGTTAGTGCCCGAGGGGGTGGGCCTCGAGGTTACGGATCCCATTTCTGTCTTGGAGGTTAGAAGGTGGCCATCTCATCTTTTGCGTGTTGTTCTCTTTTTTCATTTCTCACAGTAATGTACCATCAATTCCATTTCTCACAGTAATATACCATCCATTCCATTCGTCACAGTAATGTACCATCCATGTGTACATCCGACTTAGCGTCTAGCACTCGAGTTGGGGCTTGCGACCCCAAGCAGCACTAGCCCACCCGGCCGTTTTTCCATAACAAATGACAAAGGCCCCCCTTCCATTTTCACTCTTCCTGATCTCTCAGGTTTCGACTATTCTCAGTCTCATTCATGACTTAGTTGGATTAGGCTCCTAGGGAAGAAGTGTTTTTCACGCCCCTTAACCCATAGGTTCCCGAACCTCTCTTGTACTCGACCAATCATTCAATGCCATGGTTTGCTCGTCAATCCGTACTCAAGGTTTCCCCCTCTCAAAAGCATAATCCTTATTCCATCCAAAATTCACAATACACCCTCCCCCAATTGGTCTTATCCCAAATTCCATGTCTTTGTCTTATGTACCCAAGGTAGCTCATCCAACAAGTAGCCTAAAAAACTATCTTCTATCTTATCGTGATACAGCCTTAGCTGACCCTCTTTTCACTTCCTCCTTAGCAAGCTTGCCCATACTATACACGTTCTCGTCATTCTCATGTCTCTGTAGACAGAAAGCAACGATCTCTTTCAATGCTAAATCGACACCTAGTTCCTATTGCTGCCTTGCGCCTCGTCTTGCCCAGATCCTTGTCCACCCCGTTCCTCGGTAGGCTTCCTAACCCCCAGGCCGTAGGTCTCGATCTCTCTTTTCATCCTTACAATTTTATGCAACTCTGCCTCGTTGAAAAAATCCAGTGGTGTGGCTTCCACCCCTGCCCTTGCGAGTTCCTGAGTCTTGATAATCCATTCGTGCCTGATCACATTGGTCCATTATTGAAACCAATGACTGGGCGTTGGCCCAAACTCGTCCTCCCATATGAAAGCCCCGTCGCCCGGCTGGTGCGTCGGAGGCCGCCCCTCTTCCCTAGGCCTTGAGATCCCATCCCTCTCATCCCCGCTGCTGATTTCTATGACTTCTCGCACATCCTCCTTCTCGTCCCCCTCGTCTTCAGTCTGTATGGGGCTATACCCACCAGCAAGGTTCTTTGGATCGTAGGTAAAAAGGATCTATGTCCCCGTCCGATACCCCTTGCAACTGTCGTGACCGCTTCGTCCTTCAAGCGGGCTCTCCCTTTTCTCCTCGTCCTCCTCACGTTCGCCGCGCATACCTCGTCCCCCCTCGCTTTCCCCATGCCAAGTCTCACGTCGTTCGCCCCTGTTGGCCCCTTCCTCGTTAGAGACCCGAGCCTTATCTCTCATTTCTGTGTTGCCTTCTTCTTCCACATTTGCCCTTCTTTTTTCGCCCTCACTGTCATATGATATTTCTATACCTTTTCCCTTGCGGAGGGGTGAGGGTTTCCTACACAAGCATTTCCTTCCACCCCTGCCTACCACTGGCCCGCCCATGAGCCCAATGTACAATTTTCTCTTCGATGTCCTCCTCCCTTGGCTTGGTTCAGCTTCTTCCCCTCCGGTAGGCCTGTTGATTGCCCCGCTGTCGTTCTCGTTGCCGAATTTCATTTTTGTCTTTTCTCGTTTTGCTCCTAAGTCCTGTATAACAAAACAACACCCGCAATGTCCCTCACACACTCGCGCCTCCCCCCCCCTTAGGCCGGTAGGCATTCCCAAAATGCACCCAGTATCCCTCGCATCACGCCCTTTTTATACATGCGAATGCGTCGTTTGTGATGACCCCATTTTTTTCCCGTAAAAAACTATGGTACAATGCCCCAAACATCCCTTTCCGTTGTCACACAAGCCAGATATTGCAAACCCCCAAGTCATGCTGCCTTTCAACCTCAGTCAGTCCAAGCCAAAGCGCGAGTCCCAAAAAAAATGACAGTCCCACGAACATGGTCAGAGACAAACCATAGTGTGGGCAAGACCGTGGTTAGTCTTTAGCTTGTTGCTCCTCAGTTTCCTTATCTTCGGCCTCCTGAAGCCATTGTTCCACTGGGTTCCGACTTAGAAACCTGACCAGTCGTTGCCCCGGGAAGGGCCCTTTCAATCCAGTTCCAGCCAAATCTTCCAGTTCGAAGGTGTTCAGTCCCACCCGCTTGGTGACCCGGTAGGGGCCTTTGAACCTCCTTCCCAACTGTATCGACCAAGTACTTTCCAGTGCCGAGTTCCTTAGCAATACCATCTCCCCCACCTGAAGTGGCTCCTTTCTGACATTCTTAACCTGGTCCCACCTTGCTTTGTCCCTCATTCTGCTGTCCAGCACCCGACTGGCGATGTCTTCCATGACCTCCTCATTCTTAAGGATTTGTTGACATCTTGCCTCGATTAACTCTTCAATGGTCATTTGCGGATCATCATCTAACCTATTCCAGGTAGGTACCAAGGCTTCCACAGGAAAGTCGATCTCTCTTCCGTACCAAAGCTCTACCGGGATACATCTTGTTGTCCTTTTAGGAGTCATATTCTCTGCAAAGACAACCTGCTTAAGATACCTAGGCTAGTTTCCCAGATGGTCTGCTGCGAGTTTTGCAATCGTGTTCTTCAAGGTTCGGTGCCCCCTTTCCACAGGTGCATTGGCCTCAGGGTGATACGGCTCGATGAGTTTGATCGGTACGCAAAGTCTCTTAAGCATCCCCAATACTTCTTGGTTCACAAATTTCGTCCGATTGTGTGCTATAAACCTCCTGACGAACGGATGTCTCAAGTAGAAGTCTTCTATCCAGTCCGCCACACTCCTCCCTGTCTTTTTCTTGGAGGCGACTGCCTCCACGAACCCGCTCAGGTTGTCTCGCGCATCCAACATATACCTGTACCCATCCGTTGATGCAGGCATGACCGCAAGGTCGAGGTGGACCATATGTCCCGACCCTAGCACCCGCGTTGGTCTAAGCGGCTTAAAGACCCGCACCGAGCTTCATTCTTGGCAAATAAGACAAGTCTGGCAGTATATCGCGACCATGCCTGCCATGCCTGGCCAATAATAGAGTGGTGTTATCTTTGCAAGCGTTCCTTTGGACGACCGATGACCTCCAACCAACCCGTCGTGCATTGCCTGGATAACGTCTACTTGCCTAGGTCTTCCGCACAAAACCCTTCTGGGCATAGCACCTTCCTCCCTTCGGAACAAATGCCCGCCCCTTAGGACGTACCTTTCGGCTTCTTCTCTTGCTTTAATACTAACTTCCATAGGTTGTTTGTTTCGTACCAACATCAGTCCGACCTCCCGAAAAAACCCTTCGTATGATTGGACATAGAAAAACTCCTTCCCTTCCTGGCCCCCATCCTTTCCTTCCTGCATCTGGTTTACCACCCATTGCAACTCTTTCCTTTCCCAAGATTCCACTAAGCTCATCACTGCTTTCCGGCCTCCCTCGACCGCCATTGCCATTAGTTCCTCTTTCGGTCCTACTATCGCTCCCCATGAGTCCTTTTCTTCTCTGCGTCCTCGAGTGGTAGCTGGTCCTTCCCTAAGTTCTGCTACTACGGCAGGTGCCCTCTTCTCCAAAGTCTGGATCAATAGTTCTTCCGATGTGCATCCCTCGCTCATCATTTCGTTATCCACCGCGAGAGTCCCTCCTTCGTATTCGAGGAAGGCGTCTATGGGCTCTGCATCGTCCATCCCTTTGGGAGTGTTGCAAACCCGATTCAGCCCATCTGCCTTGTTGCGGATTCCAGCAATCCATTCGATCTTGTAATCGAACTGCCAGATGAATCCTACCCATCTCCCTACCGTCGGATCTATAGGCCTGTAATTCTTTAGAGCCCCTGCGACATTCGTCGGATCGATCCTTAAGATGAACCGCCTCCCAAATAGGTAGGCCTGGAAGGTCTTAAGGCAATGCAGGATGGCTATGACTTCCTTCTTAAATTGCGAGTACCGCTGTTCTGCGGAGTTCAGGGTTCTACTTTCGAACCTAATCAGCCTCTCTTTTCCTCCCTCATCCCTTTGAATCAACAAACCTCCTACGGCCGAAGGTCCTCCATCCGTCTCTAGGATGAAGGGTCGTCCCACTTCGTCATTAAAACAAGGCGCGGATAGGGCGACTGTCTCATATGTCAATATGTCCTTGAGCCTTTGGACAACTCTTTCTCGCTCCTCCGTCCAATCCATGGTTCCTTCTTCCCTGATCATAGCCCGGATAGGCTCAGCAATCTGTGCAAAGTTCTTAATGAAAATCCTCCAAAAGCCGACTACGCGTAGGAATGCCCTTACCTCCGTCGTCGTGCGCAGTGGTGTCGGCCACTGTGATATCTTGTCGGTCTTTGCCGGATCCGGCTTCCTGCCGTAAGCACCGCAACGAAATCCTAGTATAGTTACCTTTGGTACTGCTAGGATACTCTTTGGTCCACTAGCCGTAATGTTGTATACTAGGAACCGATGGAGTAAGTCCTTGATGTCCTGCAAGTGGTCCCGCACAAAACGTCGGATCTCTGGCTGGACTTCCGTCTCGTCCTTTTCCTGCACGCCTTTGCTCGGATTGTCATCGATGTAAGGTTCACATTTTTCTGGGAACATGTCCCCGACCACGACGAGCATCCTGCGTTGCGCTTCGGCCACCGCGTTTGTGAATCCCATAGGTGTCACTTGCATCTGTAGCTGGCCTACGGAGGTGTGCATAGCGGTGTATGGCCTGTCCCGAACATCCAATGGAAGCTGGTCGTACCCTGAGTACAGATCTATCAGGGAGTAAATGCTCCGACCGGCGTGCGGTTCTGCTAATAAGTCAGCCTGAGGTAGCGAGCCAGCATCCCGGATGGTTACCGCATTCAACTTCTGAAGGTCCTGAATCCACCTTAGTGTCTTGTTAAGCTTCCGAAAGACGAACCACCGATTTGCGTATGGTGATGTCGTAGGCTCCGCAACGAAGGAGTCCATCTTCGCTCGGAGGAGGTCTGTTACTTCTCCTGCTATCCCAAATTCATAAGATGGCCCCTTGTCATTCCGGCACTCATGTTCTACCGTGTGGATTCTGACCGGAGGGATCAACTTCGCATCCAGTCGTCCCTTCTGGTGATCACTAAAGGCAAATGTCAGGTGAAACTCCTGGCAGGTCCTTTTGATCAGACGGGTTTCTTCTTCCGTTAAGAACCCGTCTATCCCTATCTTCATTGTGTCCGCTACCTTATCTGGTATCCGATGTCCCTCTGTCGCCCTCCTTTCTCGGATCACTTGAAGGACCCCTTCCTCCTTCTCTATAGCCTTTTCCTTTGACGTCTCTAGCAGGATCGAGACCGGTTTAGCTTTCTTCCCTACCGGTTTGTACTTTCAAACACTTCCTTCCGGAATCTTTCTCCTAAAAAATGAACAGTCGAAATTTCCCCCGTCGCCTCTACGACTCGTGGTTGAATACTAACTAGTTTCCCATTCAGGCAATATCTCTTTTGCACCTTTCTTTCGAACTTGGCCAAGGCTGCCGAATCCACTCCTACCTTGTGGTATCTGAAGGCCTTGATGAGTTGCAATAGATCGGGGATCTCGAGTGCGATTTTCGACACGTCTATGCGTACTTCTTTCCGTTTGGGCAGGCTAGCATCAAGTTCGACCTCTGACTCCTTTTCCGCTACCATAACACCTAGGACTTCGTCCTCCTGCCTCCTCTTCTTCTGGGGCAGACCCATCTTGATCCACTCCTTCTTGTTGAATGCTTCCTCAATCATGATTTCTACCCTTTCTCTCATACCCTCCATCCGTGTGAAAACCCCTTTTCGCGTGCTATCCTCGAACGACGGCGACCATGTTGCCAATTTCCCCCTCGGGGGGTTTCCTCCTGTTCCAAGGAGTCGGAGGAGCTCTCCCCGACCGGTCACAGGGTCCTCTATGTCTACCATGTACGAGCCATGGTGCAAGTGCATGCCTATCATCTTTACGTTCGCGCACCACGGTCTCCCGAGGATTATGTCGTGGTCCATTTCCTCTATTACGGTCATCCGCTGAAATGACCAGATTGATTCCCTGACCCCTGCCTTCACGGCATACTTCGTGACGTACCCAGCAAACAGGATTTTTCCACCAGCCCCCCGGATGCTCCCTGTTACTTCCTTGTTAACCGTACATCCCATGATCGTTGTGAAATCTCTTCTTATGAGAGTGATCTTTGCTCCCCCGTCTACTAATGCGTCGGTATGATGACCCCCGATCTGGATTTTCAGTTTCCCTATGGGCAGTGCGTGAAAGCTAAGCTTTGTCCCGGGTGGTGACCTCATGATTTCGCCGCCCTCCCGGTCGGGCAAGCTCAAACGAATGTCTGCAAAGGCTTTTTCGAGATCCTCCAAGTCCCCGTGACTTTTCTGAAGGTTAGCCACTTCTTGCGGAGCTTCCTCCTCCCTCTCCCCTTCTGGTAATTCGGGGTTGTCGCCTATTTCTACTCGCCTCCGAGTCAACAGTTGTCTGAGCCCTTTGAGCAACCTAGGGCTAGCTTGCAGCATGGTCTGAAAAGACACCGACACCATGGTTCCTAGTAACTTGCTAATGGTGTCGTCGAGCTCAGGCAAGGTTAAGATCGGGATTTAATACCTAAACTTCTTCTTAGCGGCGGTAACCTTGTCCGCACGCTTCTCTTCCCTAGGCTTCCCATGACTTTCTCTGGTTCCTTGGCCTCAGGCTCCGCCTGGGGTTCGGAGCTTCCGACGACCTCCTCCATAATGGTGTCACGGTTAATCCTTCTCCCGGCCGTTCCCAGTCGAGTGGTTGCATTCACCCTATCACGTCCGTCGCTTTCCAAAATAAAGTTGGCCTGCGGCCCGCGCCCCCGGAGCCGATCCCAGATGATCTCGCCCACCAGTTCGGCTTCTACGACTGTTATTTCTAGACCGTTGAGCATGATAATGGCTCGCCGCATCCCTCCTGGTGAGTTTCAGTTTACCCGTTCCCCTTATGGTCTAAATATCTCCCCCTTTAATGACCTGGTATACCTTCTTTTCAGAATATCATGGTTGAGCTTTGGGCATGCGCGCACATAATGTCCTATCGCGGTGCAGTACTTGCATTGCTCGTTAGCAGGATCTCTCCGTCTGAATCCCCTGTTTGCTACACCTGGCGGGACCACAACTTCCTGGGGAGGGAAGGCAGGTCGGGATACTTGCGCTTGCATAACCAGTAGCGCGCCTTCCATCCTTTCAATCTTATTGTCGACTCCGTGCACCCGTTCATGTAGACTTTCAATCCCCTTCTTTACCTTGTCGCCCGTCCTACCGGTCAGATCTATGATCTCTCCTTCCTTGAGCAAGGCCAATGTCTCCGTTACTACTGTTTTTTCAGCCAGATTCGTTACCGTGCTAAAATCAACATCCCGCGTGTTTACGAACTTGCTCGTCTGTTGGTAAGCTGACAGGATCTTGTCTTTGTCGAA